GATGGCAGGTAGAAGAAGATGGACTCAGCATCTGTTTTACTTTGGTGTGAACCAAGAGAGGTGCTATTCAGACCAGAAAATGTGAAACAAGAATTATAGAAAAAGAAGGAAGGATGAGGGGGATTTTGAGAAAGGAAGGGAGGGAGGGATGGAAGGAAGGAAAAGGAAAAAGGATAACTCAGGTAGTTTGAGAAAATCATCAAAACCCTTGATTATTTAAGTTGATTTACTCTTTCAAAACCTACTATGTGCTAGTGATTTGGGGAGGATTGGAGAAGATGCTGCCTAAAGTCATCTTCCTAACTCCTTGCTAGTAGATCAGTCAGGCAAGCCAAGCTTACAACAGACTATTACCCAGGACCCCAGATGATGAGAACCAAACTGTGGGCACCAGTCGATGCAGTGATAATCCCCAAGAGGGACATTTTCTCTCACTGAAAAGATTAGCAAAGGTGTCGTGTGGTTCCCCCACATTGTTGTTGTTCAGTCACTCAGTGGTGTCTGACTCTTTGCGACCATGTGGACTTCAGCATGTCAGGCTTCCTGCCCTCCACTCTCTCCCAGAGTTTGCTCAAATTCATGTCCCTTGAGTCGGTGATGCCATCTAACCATTTTATCCTCTGTCGCCGTCTTCTCCTCCTGTCCTCAATCTTTCCCATCTTCAGGGTCTTTTCCAATGAGTCAGCTCTTTGCATCAGGTGGCCAAAGTATTGCAAAAACCCCCAAATTTTTTTTAAAGATTCTGAGCAAAGTGTTTTCAGACATAACCCCAAAGACCTTTGTACATCATCTTTGAACAATCAGATTAGAGAGGTGTTAGGAAGTATACTCCATACCCATTTTTGAAAAACAGTAAGTTCTAGAAATTGTAGGTTGAAGTAAATTAGTTTAGGTTATAGGATAGGTTGTGAGCATGGAAGGACATGATAGGGATCAGCTACAGCCTGAACAAATCCTATTTGCACTTTGACAGGGTTGATAGAGAAGAAAGGACCAGGTTATAGCACTGGGCTGAAATACAGGCGAGCTAAGCTGATTTCTGAGATGGCATAAATCCAGGTGGGAGCTAATGTAGTAGAGGATGAAAGGCTAAAACCAAGGAGATAAAATTTAATAGGGAAAATTGGAAAGTCTCCAGTGTAAGTTGTAAAAATGTATTTACTTAACATATAATGAGCATTGTGTTCCCAACAGTGGGTAAGAGACTATCAAAAAAAAATTACCAGTTTCTGGGCTCAGCCTCATTTAATAAAGGACAACACAAAATCACAGGTCTTCCTTAGAAGAGAGTCCCAAGTGGAGAACTGCCTAGAAATTCTGCCATCTGAGGAGTGATTGAGAAAATTAGAGAATTCAGCCCAGAAAAGAGAACACTGAAGCCAAGCTACCTCAGACATGCCAGCTACCTGGAAATATTCAAATGGCTTCTCAGTGGCTCCAGAAGGCGCCTTTCTTATAGCCAGGGAGAAGTTACATCAAGGGATTTCAACACAAGAATAGGAAGTTGTTTTTCATAATGAATTATATCCTTTGGAAAAGACTGTGTGTGGCTTTACTGTACCAGAGGCTGGAGATAAAGACAAAAGGTCCATTAGAGAGACAGTGTGAAACCAGGAAGTCATGATGCAAAGTGCCAAGACTGAGCTGAACAGATGCGGAGATGCTAGACAGGTGCAAAGGTCCTCAGAAGCCCAGGGAACCAGAACACCAGCGTCACCTGCTGGGTTGGGAGGGTGTACAGAGCAAGTCATGTCTGGGGGGAGGGTGGGGGTAAGGGCTTGGAAGGACAAAATCATGGGGGTTCTCAGCAGAGAATGAAAGAACAGAAAACCCAGAGAGGGTCAGCGGTTCAAAGTAAGAGGGAACTAAGCTTGGACGACTAGGTCCAGCACAGGAGGCTGGTACCCTGAGCTGAGGAATCCTATCGGCAGGGAGTCTCCTTGGAGAATTTCAGAGCACAGATGTGACCTAGTGAGGGGTGTGACTCAGAGCCATTTCTGCCCTTTCTGCTGTGGGCAAGCTGCTTAGAGGGCTGAGAGTCTGGAGCTGGGCAGACCAAAGAGGGAGATGCTGATGAGGAAATGAGAATTGAACTGGGGAGAGAGAAAAAAAGCCAAAGTCCTAGGGAGACTGGTGTGTTGAATGGGGAGCCCTCAACAGACGTGGAAGCCAGGTCAGTGATGGAGGAGATGTAGGCACCGTGCAGTCAGCAATGGTGTTGTCTGCCCTGGGACTGCTGCTGGCCCCGGCTCATTGTAGCCTCTGTCCAGGGCACTGTGGAAGGGATCCAGACATTTATTAGAGGAGGATTTGAAAACTCTGTGATGCCCTTAAGATGCCACGACTCCATGATTTTTAAAATAGTCTCTTAATTTGTCCCACATCCACTTCTCACCCCTAAAGAGGAGAGTGTCCAGAGTTCTTCCTTTTCTTCTCCCCACCCCCTGTGTGAGTAGAAGACCCAGAACCCATCATATCCTTGACATCTCTCCCAACTGGCTTCCAAATCAGCACCCCACACACACACAGTTTACTTTAATACATTAAAGGACTCAATATATTTGAAGCCAGACATCTCAGCCTGCACCCAAGTTGCTGTTTCCTTGCTTCCTGAAGGAGCTCAGAATTCCAACACTGGCTCTTTCTGTGTCCTAGAACACTCTCCCTGTTAGTTTGTGCTCTCTTTAAGGTGGTAACAGTCTTACTTCCTCTCCAACTGACCCAGCCTGAGACAGTGCCCTCCAGGGTATGTATGTTGGTCAGCTGACATGAGGAATGCGTTCCTCTGCGTGTCCCTAAGGATGTGACATGTGTCCTCCTCTGTGTATAAAGGGCTTCCCTGGTGGATCAGATGGTCAAGAATCCACCTGCCATGCAGGAGACCCAGGTTCAATCCCTGGGTCAGAAAGGTGCCCTGGAGAGGGGAATGGCTACCCACTCCAATATAAAACACTTTGAGGATAGTGATTTTAAAAGAGTTTGAATCAACAGACACTAGTTATGATTGCCTACTCAGCTGCAGCAAATGATTGAATGTATCTGGGTCCCAGTTTCCTGATTTCTGAAGGAGGGCTCAGAAATTCCCAGGCAGATGGGTATAAAGGGGACGCGGGCTGGCACTCCTAAGTAACCAGCACATCTGGGTTCCTAGCACGTGACCCTAGCCCACTTGGTCCCTCCCCCCCCCCCCCCCCGGCCAGGAGACATTCATGCCTTGTCCCTGATGCCAACTGTGTCATCCAGACACTCCACCAGCTTCACACTCCACCAACTCTCAGCTTCCTTAAGGGGGGCTGACGGAAGAAGTGAGTTTCCATGAATATAATGTTGCTCACAGTTTCAGATGAGGCAGAAGGAGGAAATAGTAATCAAGATAGACAGAAAAAGGAATCCACTGTAAGGTGACGAGCATAGGGAAGGGTAGACCAAAGAGGCTTTGGGTACCAAAGCATGTGGACGAAGATGCCTATTAATTGTAGACACAGAAATTTTGCTTTGGAACTTGTCAGTACCAGAGGGACCTCTGTCCCCACTGGTTGGAAGCTGTCTTTCCTTGGCACATTGATAGGGGAAGAAAAAAAAATTACAGGAGAGAAAGCTGTGGTGGTTAGCTTCAGGAATAGAAAAAGAATGATGATGATGTCAGAACAAGGAACGCAGATCCATCCTGAAGACGTTTGAGTCTGAGTTCCCATCACGTTGTGAGCTGACTTGCAGTGTTTTGCTCTTTGGAATTCCAGCCTCTTTGTAGAGCGTTGAACTAGCCAGTGCTTGGTTGTTCCATAGAGCTAATTAATCCCAAGTTTCTGGCACCTTATATATGTGTGTGTGTATATTTACTTTGCAAGTATTAAATCATTCAGGAAGAGAAGAAGCTTATCTTGTCTTTGCAGATAAATGTAAAGCCACGACATGGGAAACTCAATGCTGCTTTGCCTTCTTTGCTTTGCCATATGGATGGGGTGAAAGGAGCTGTTTCACTTCCCAGACTGAATCCATCTGTGCACAAGCCAGGGGCCTCCTTGTGAGGTGGGATCTGGCACGACTGACTTGAAGAGCAGTGCTTTGGTTCACAGGATGACTGCCTATGTGTGGCTATTCCTGCGACAGTCCATCCCACACCTCCCAGTTACAGCATCCTGCTCCCTGACTCGAAAGCGACTGCATTCAAGGGTCAGCCCCCAAACACGAAAATGTTCCAGCAAATGCATTGCTTCACTCACACTGACAGTCCGCTGAATCCATTCCCAGAAAGTTCCATTCATTGAACATTTAACATCAAAGCTTTTTAAAGAAAATTCAAAGAAAAATATGAAGAAGACCCTTGTGTTCTAAGAAAGGAAACTTTCATTCTTTTTGCCAGTACTAAAGTGTGTAAAAGGAATAAATTATATTTAAAGGGAAATTAGAATTTCGAAGCGATGCCATCCAAAAAGTTTTTTAAAAATTTAGGTCATTTTTAGGCAGGATTTCTTTTATCAGGAGTGGTAACCAGGTCTTGGTAAACAGTGTCCTCAGAGGAAAGAAATAAGGAAAAGTTTTATTTGTGAGTTTGAAATAAACATCTAGGTTTCCAGACATAGTGATATGCAATGTATACAATTCTTTGATCAACCAAACAGATGCATAGCTCTCTAATAATGACTTTTTAAAGAGATCATAAGCTTTTTCATTTTGATAGCAAAAAGAATGGAATTTGTACTATATAATGAATTACTTTCAAGATGTTAATTTTGACAAATGTCACAAAAAGTAACAAATGAATAGGTTATAATAAAACCTTTATCACATATCTGAGAATTTTTGTGGCAATTTATATGTGCCTCACTTAGAAGAAATAAGGAAGCCATAAAAGTTTCAATTATTAGTAGTGATCTCAGTATACAATTACATTTTAAAATGGCTATCATTATCTGATTATGTAGAATATTTGTCAGAAATGCTTAAGTGAATGTTAGTGAGTTATTTATCTTGTACTAATATTAGCTTTCTTTCCCCAGATGCAAAGAGTTTAGCTGAAATGCTCATGAGGTAAGAAAAAGACCTAGTATCCTAAATATCATGTTTAAAAGAGCAATTTCCAACTTGTTTTGATGATTTCTTTTTGTTTAATGACAGTCTCAATAATCCATTTTCTATCTGACATATAGTTTTCATTCTAGGAAACTGAATGTCCATGTAATGCCTAGTTGGAGTAGATACCAAGTAATGTGCTATTATGCACGCTGTAGGTAGTCGTCTTATTGGCTGGGCTCTACCAACAGAATATTTCCCACTACCTGAGAATAAGGAGATACATTATAAGTATCAATAAGAAGCTTTGGTTTTTCTTCCAACAAATATGCCACCTTGAGGTCAAGCCTTCTTCCTAATGTTAGCCAGGTGAGAAGGGATCTACAAAAGGAAATGGGTTCAAATTGATGGGCTGATCAATAAAAACACTCTTTGCCCTCACTTCCCGTGGCTTCTTCAGCACCCCCTCCACCAGAGCGCCCAGGAACTTCTCCTGCAGATGTCTGCTTAGCCTGGCCTCAGAGGTCACAACCTCTCATCACTGAGTTAGGAGAAAGCAGCACTATAATTGTCCCACTCATAGCTGTTGAATGATGAACAGCTAGGTGTAACTGAATAAGAGCATGTTCATAACTGTACAAAAGCCACTCCAATATTTGCACTGTCTATAGTAAAAATTTAAACCAAAAGTAATAGGAGGATAATCAGTGTCTAGGAACCAGGTAAGAAGAATGTCAGGGGAATTCTCTGACAGTCCAGAGACTGTTAGGACTGTTAGGACTCAGCACTTTCACTGCCTGAGGCCTGGGTTTGATCCCTGATGAAGAAACTAAGATCCTGCAAGGTACAACCAAAATGAAAAAAGAAAAGGAAAACATCAGGGCCCAGATGGCGACTTTGATATTGCCGTTCTAGGATGACTAATGTAGAAGATAAAAACAATGGCATATAAGGTCTCTTCCCAGCCCCTACCCCACCACAGTTGGCTTTAACTTCCTCCCTAACCTTTGCATATCAAAGTAGTACTTTCTTATCATTCACAAAGAGACCTGTCCATAGCAGTATCTCTGAAGACCTAGACAGAGGTCGAATACCATTGGCCCATGGATTACGTTTCTCACAGACACCTTTGTTTGTCCATGCTGTGTTTTAAAACAATATGAACTGTTAGTAACAGATAGTGAAGAACTCAAGGATGCCTCTGAAATAGTTGGTGTGAACACTTAGATAAACATTGGCGCCATTTGCCGAGATTGGGATGATAGATTTGGTGTATGGACCTTTTAATGTAGGGCAAAGGAAGGGGATGTTGATCAGAATGAAAGGACTTGCATGGATCATGTTGAACTGAGGATGCTTTTTAAGCTTCCAGTGAAGCTGGCAGCACCAATCTGGAGCTCAGAGTAGAGCTCAGAGATTCAAATGGCTTGTAAAATAGCTCCTTCATCTGTCTAACCCCATCACACTAGATCAAACTTGCATGAGAAGATTATGAAAAGCTGTATGAAGCGTCTTGGGCCCAGGCTTTTGTGCAAGCCCGTCCTTGTTGGCTAGTGGTCACAGGGAGGGCTGCCAGACACATGTGCACTTGTGTTGAACGGATCTGACAAACATCTGGAAAACAAGCCAGAGTCATTTGATTTATAATAATTATCTAATAAAGTAAGTTATAATGCAGTCTTACAAATATGAAATTGTTAATGACATTTAAAAATCAAGACATTTCACACAAAACTGTGGCTTTCTGACTTCTCTTGGAAGTGCTCTGACCACACTAGACACAGTCTCAATGACCATGGCTGTCTGGACCTGCCTTTGATGCTCCCGTTAGAGTGGGTGTAATCTGCTCAGCCCAGGGGCCCCATCCCTGTCTCCAGCCCAGTCCACTTCACTAGTCTCTAGTGCCCTAGCCTGGTGCTTGCAGCTGTGTGCCCTCCCAGATAGCTTCTGGCCACTACCTTCATCATCTCCTAGACCATCGACCATGCCCAAAGCCCATGTCCCTGGGGCGGGGATGGGGGCACGGTTTCTGCATTTCCTGACAAGTGCAGCATTTATTCCATTAGTGTGAGGTGGATGTAGCTTCTCTGCTGTGTTTTCTCCCTCATGAATTCCAGGTAAGACGTCAAAAAGCATCTTCTTCCTTCTTTGTTAATACGGGCAATTACCGTGGCAGAAAGACCACCTATTGATAAGAACAGGAGTCAGTAATGATATTTGCAGGTGACAGTTGCCAACATGAAATTAGGAACATTAAAACTAGTAATTACTCCCACTTAAGATATTTAAGGTAGTTTTCTCCCAAAGGATGAAAGTGATTGAGAAGGAGGAGAATTTCCAAGCTCCTCACATAGGTGGATTTTTATGGGATTAATTTAGAAGTAAAAGCAATGAAGGAAGGGAGATATATATATAATTATGACTGATTTGTGTTGTTGTGCAGCAGAAACCAACACAGCATTGTAAAGCAATTAGCCCCCAATTAAAAAAAAAAGAAATGTTCAATAATAAATGAACCAGAGGACCAGAACATATATCTTTCATCGTGGCTCATCTCAGGGGGAAAAAGAAACGAAAAAACAATCACTCTAGGCCAAGTGCCTCTACCCAGAACTTATTTATATTTTACATAGATGTATCACAGCCTATCTGATTTTTCTCGGACAATAGCTATTGAAACCCATGTTTATGAATTAAATGGAAATAATAAATTGGTTGATAAATCAAAAAAAGCAATGCTTTTATTCTTGAAGGGTCAATTTAACCTAAGGTTGGCATGTTAACAGGTCAAGTAACAAAAGACCTTGTCCCTTGCCTGGTCAGGTTAGGGCCAACCACGTTCTAAATGTGGCCCTGGAAGTCTAGGTAGGTCAGATCAATTGGCACAGAGAAGCCTGCAGAATCGCTGTCCTCTGTCTTCACCACTTCTTTCTCTCAGAAGGTGAGGTCTGAGCAGCCTGGGGCATAGAATCACAGACTTAGGTTCTAGATGCTGCCACTGGCTAGTTTTGTGATCTGCAGGACATCCTTTTCTCTCTCTGTGCCCTGCTTCTCTCATCTAAAAACAACTGTTGGAAATAGTTCCTAGCTGTATCATTCTGTGATCTAGGTGAATGCAACATTTACTGTCCATGCACACTCCTTAAGGAAGGAGCCACATATTTGAGTGACGTCGGCTGTCACAGAAACTGCCTGGACCCCACTCTGGGGGATCCCCTCCCCCCACATGCTGCCACCTGCCTCTGCTGGTTCTCATGCCTCTGGACCTTCATCCATGTCACCCGAGCAAGTCACCTGGCAGAGGAGAGAGAAGGGAGACGTCACCCACCGTGCACAGATAGAAAGGGTTTTCCTTTTCTAGGATTAGGCAAGAAAAATGTTTTTCAAGCATACCAGCCTTCTCAAAGGTGAGACTGGGTTGCCCTAAGACACTAAGTAACAAGTAGTTAGCATCCAGGGACCAGTATTAATAAGAAAGCTAGTTGTGAGCAGTGAAGGGTTCAGTGAGAGTTCAAGTTAGTTTAGTTTTTTCATGTTTATATGTTTATTGGTTGTCATTCAGTCCCTAAGTCATGTCTGACTCTTGCAGCCCCATACACTGCAGCACGCTAGGCTTCCCTGCCCTTCACTCTTTCCTGAAGTTTGCTCAGACTCATGTCCGTTGAGTTGGTGATGCGATATAACCATCTCATCCTCTGCTGTCTCCTTCTCCTCCTGCCCTCAATCTTTCCCAGCATCAGGGTCTTTTCCAGTGAGCTGGCTCTTCATATCAGGTGGCCAAAGTATTGGAGCTTCAGCTTCAGTAACAGTGAAAATGCTCACCCAGCTGTTACAATGAGAATCCTGATATCTTTACAGTTACTTTATACTTATGGAAGGCTCCATATCAAATTTTTGGGAGGAAGGGAGATGCTATGCAAACATTGTCATTAGTTTTTTTTTTTCCCCCCAAAGCTTAAGGAAATATTGACTTTATGAAGTTGTGGCAATTGCATATAATTTATTGGCTGAGCCCAGAAATACCGTCCACCAGGAACCAGCTCCAGCCCTCTGTCACTTTAATCAGACAGCCAGATGGCAAATGGATGGCAGATGAATATATTTCAATAATAGCTAGCTAATATATTTAGCATGATCCCATATCATATAAAAGAGGCAATTTTGCTTCCTCCGTAAAAACATTCAGATCTTTTTTCAGATTCCAAATGAAGTTTCTTTAATTAGATTTTTTTTAAAAAAAGGTTTGCTGCTATTCTAATGACCAATTGTTATAGCTTAGGGAAATCAACCTTCATGTAACAGTAGATCATAGAATATGGCAGCACAGACTAAGATAAAGAAGCAACCTGCTTAAAAAAAAAAAAAAAAAAAGCAACCTGCTTGAGATCTAATAATCTTTTTAGATTGAGGAGGATGTTATTGACTCTAAAGTGCAGGCTTCTAGAGGTGTGACTCAGCTTCCATTGTGTCCAAGCTTTATTCATTCAACAACCTTCAACAAATATTAATTGAGCACCTACTTCAGTCACATGCTGTCCCAAGTTTCAGGGCGATACAGGGGACAGAAGAGATGAAAATACCCTTTAGGAAGCTTATAGTCCATTGGCAGGGACACCTTATAAATAACTCATTCAAACACCTGCTAGGAAGTTGTAAGTGCTGAGGAGACAAAATTAAGCGGAGAATGGGGAGTTCCCACAGCAGGGTCAGCTGGCTCCTCTGAAAAGATGGACAGAGGGGGCCACTCCATGGCTTTGGGCCAGGGGAGTGTGTCCCAGCAAAGGAAACAGCAAGCGCAAAGGGAGGAGGGACAATTAGACTTTGAATCTTAAGGTTTTGGGGGCCATTTTCCCACCTTCCTGCCGCAGGGCTTGGCAGCTTGGTCCTGCGGTGAAGGGGCATTCACCTCCAGCCCTGATGGTCCATGTTCACCAAGTCCAGTCATTTTCTAAGTCCTTGTGCCAATCGCAGTGGAGCACAGTGGAGATGTCACTGGCTTCCTGTGTCAAGCATACCCCTCATTGTTAAGTAGAGTGTGCAGATCCCTAGCTGTTCACTGAGCAGCCGCTGACTGCCTCATCACTATTCATGAGGCGCAGAAGGAACTAGCTCACACTTCTATTTTTGGTGCAAGGACAAGCTCCGGTCTCTCCTGAAGTTTCGAAACAGATCTCAGATATTCACAGAGGAGGAGTTCCCCATATGTTTTTGTGGAAATAGAGCTTATCTGACGTAACCACAGCCCCCCGAGTCCACAACGCTCTTCATTTTATACAAGGATCTGAATCTTTGCTTTAAATGCACACACAAATAAAGTGAGAACTTGGTTAAGTAAATAATTTAAAACCGTTTATAGACCATGCAAAAAATTCAGGCCAAAACGTTTGAATTTGGGCCCTGCGTTAATTAGCATGGTCTAGCTACATAACCCAGTTACTCATCTGAAGAGAGCGAAAATCTGGTTCAAGATCAAGTCCTAGGAGGGCTGCTGTGCCTTTCAAAGCGGCTGTTGTCATGGGCTGTTTTGTTTACACCCAAAGGGAGAAAGAGCCGTTGTAAAATATTCAGAATATTAACATTGGCCTCTGAATGCAAACAGGTAAAGGGCTTCTTGAGTGAACTTGACCTTCAGATTATTAACATGCATCAACCACATGGTTCAAGAGTGGATGAGCCCTCATGGTCAAGGAAGAATCTGGGACTCCTGGTGAATGTTTGGTTGAAGCTAAAAGCATTTGAGATTTCAATACAGGTGCACCTTTATTGTCCCCTATTACATGTAATTAACAGCAGGTAAACCATCAAGAGTGTGCCAAGCACCACAAATCTCTCTCAAAACAGAATTTGGCAGTAAATGAGCTAGATTTAGAGACGCCATAGATTATCACATTGATTTAATCATCTGAATGGTTGCTGCTTTCTGGAGGGTATTTCAGAATATATTTTTAAATCTACTTGATTCTTACAATTCTATAAAGATTGAACAACCATTTTTCGATTGTGGGTCGCTAATTAGAGCTTTTATCAACTTTCTTGTATTTTTGTCCAACATGCAGATTATTTTCTTCTTCTTCTTTTTTTTTTACTATGAGCTGTAACTGAACTTGATTATACCATGCAGCTTTACTACCTATTTTCATTTACTTTTAGAAGACAGCTCACTCTAAGAGCAATTTTCTGGTACACAAATTTTGAGATAAATTCTTATAGTAATTGCTTTTTTTCCTCTCTTCTAAAATGTGATTGGATTCAGAAAACTAAACTATTGTCAGGAAAGCTAACAAGGTTTATGATTTGTTACTAGAACAAAAAAAAAGTGACTCCAGGTAGAAAACAAATTTACTAGTAAAACCCCATCCAAGGAATAACCAGTACACATGTTTTCTCCCTTGCCATCTTTATAATATCTCATGTCTAACCAATGAAAATGTTGTTGATTTAAGAATGTTTCTGTATGTATATTTTGTTTGGTTTTTACACAAGAAATGGGAAATTCCAAAGTAAGTTTCTACTGATAGTTGTAGAACCAATCTCTATTGACAGTTGATATTTTCTGAACCTCACAACTAAGTGTTGAAACTTAATATTAATAAATATCATTTGCATGAAGGAGAAAAAGCTATCATGTGCTCCTTTCCCTCCCCTCCCCACCAACATTCACATAATTAGATTATAAGTCTAGTTGGTGTGCCTAATGTAACACTGAACAAATTCATTAATGTATCCCCCTTATTTTATTCCCAGTAAAAATACCCGGACTTCAGACACCTTGAGCAAGCAACAGCAAACCCTGAGGATGCATATTGACATACCCAGGGCTCAGCTCTTGATTGAAGAGAGAGACACAATGGAGACCATCGGTAAGGTGTCCTGTTTGCCGCTTTACACAGTGTGGCTGCTACAGCCATGCCCTCTCTGCCTAAACCCTGAGCCACTGAAAATACTAGATATGGGAACATCTTGAATGTTACATGAGCAAACAAGTTAGAAGGTAGACAATTGTTATTGAGAATAATAAGTACCAGCAAATATGGGGGACATGAACTTAGGTAAACCACAGAGTTCACCAGAGAGAACCCCAACTCTGACCCAAGTTGGATCTTTCCTTGAGAGGCTGTCAGTGCCACTCCAAAGAACCGACATCTGTAATCAAGCAAGCCAATATGGGGGACATGAACTTAGATAAACCACAGAGTTCACTAGAGAGAACCGCAACTCTGACCCAAGTTGGATCTTTCCTTGAGAGACTGTCAGTTGAGACTGTCAGTGCCACTCCAAAGAACCGATATCTGTAATCAAGCAAGCCACGACAGGCTGCACACTAAGACCCCATCTTGGAAACCCACTTTCTGAGCTCCTCCTCAACTCCACTAAGGACTTGATTAAAGAAAACGTTTAAATTCTACAAATATCTTCACACAGGGCATCTTTCTCCACCCCTTGGCACCCCATAGATATCCTGTGATGGTTTCTTTCTCATGGCTTTGGAGAAGTCCCAGTTCCTCCGTTCCATGATCACAAAACAGACACCTACAGAACTTCAGCCGCCTGTCTGCCCTGAACCCAGGAGTCTCGACTCCTTCCGGCCTTTTTCCTACTCTAAGTCAGCTATCCACACAGCCTGCCTAGATGGTTCTATTTATTCCAGAATCAGACACCTCATATTTCCATTGCTACAATGATCAGAAGAATAGCTAACACTTACTAAGAGCTCATTGGGCTTTCCTGGTGGCTCAGTGGTAAAGAATCCCCAGGTTCAATCCCTGAGCTGGGAAGATCCCCTGGAAAAGGAAATGGCAACCCACTCCAGTATTCTTGCCTGGAAAATTCCATGACCAGAGGAGTCTGGCAGGCTACAGTCCATGGGGTCACAAAAGAGTTGGACATGACTAAGCATACACAGGGAACAGGGAAATATGGACAAACAAGTCGAGCCCCTGATCTTGCCCCTAGAGTCTCCCTAAACACATGAGGCTCCCTTCTGAGGTTTACTAGTTAGATCCTTCTGTCACTTAGACGTGTCTGACTCTTTGTAACCCTATGGACTGTAGCCCACTAGGCTCCTCTGTCCATGGGATTCTGGAGGCAAGAATACTGGAGTGGGTTTTCATAGATAGGAGTGGAACCAGAGCAGAGCCCCCTCCTGGCCCGTTGCTTCACCTTCAATGGGTGTCACCTGCTTCCATATCAGCAAGGCTACCCCCTAGAACCCCTCGCCTTAGAAGTATGGCTGGACCACCCCCTGGTATCCATGGAAACAGACTCTGAGGCAGGTTTCCTAGGCTGCCCCTTTTCAAACTTCACTTTGCGTTTGTTCTGGAAGATGTTTGTTGGCACTCCATCCCAGGACAACCCTTCTCTGTGGTTTGACTAAAGCAACCCACCTCCTGGCACGGACCCTTCATCCCTCCTGCCAGGAAGACAGTTTTCACAAGCCAGAACCCTCCATGGCCCCTTGTCCCCACCCTGCCCCGTATTGTCTCTAATAGAAGAGCAGAAACATCTGACCTCGTGGCTCCTACATTCTGAGGCCTGGGCTGCCGTTGCTGGATTCAAGGTTGATTCAGGCATAACAGCACTTAGCACAGCTCAGTCAAGTCCAAGGTGGCCCTCGATCAAATACTGCCTTGTTGTCTGAGAACCCGTCCTGAAGTGCATGAGATTTCATCAGTTGGCTCAGATCAGGCAAGGCTCTTTGTGTGGTTTCTCCTGACCTTTCCTATAGTATATACGGAACCTATTTTATCAAACCTCGTGAATTGAGCTTTAAAACTAAGATTTCCTTAAAACAGATAGTTTACAAGGGCCTACTATATAGCACAGGCAACTCTGCTCATAACTCTGTAATTACCCTCACAGGAAAAGAATCTGAAAAGGAGTGGATATATGTATACAAGTGAATCATTTTGCTGTACACCTAAAGCTAGCTATTATAAATCAACTATACTCCAAGATAAAATAAAAATTAAAATTAAGGGAAAAACCCTAAGATTTCCTTTCAAACATCGGTTCAGAAATCAAATTGTAACTCCTTTGACTTTTTATTACAATTACGACATTTGCTAACTATTCCTCACTAGACTTAATAATTCTACCCACGGCTGTTAAAATACATCACTGGGTGGATCCTGGGAGTGGTGTGTCACCTCCCAGTAGCTGGTCACTGCCGACCCAACAGCAGAGAAAGGTCTGCCTGTCGCTTCTGTACATAGTAACAACCCCTCGCCCAAGATGCACCGTAATTGTAGCAGGATCATCCATCACCAAGAGTTGTTTACCTCCCAGGGGCGCCTGACAGTTGGTCAATGGCATTTTAAAGTTATTGGGGAAGCAGAGACGTGATGCTTTCAAACGCTCTGGGCTCTGCCTACAAGAATCCGATATGGGAGTGCCATTAATTTCTAGCCAGAATGCATGGCCAACCTCAAAAACAGACAGGCACTTGAAATGCCCCATTAAAACTGCACTCCCAGCCCCGCAGGCCCTCTGTATGTTCTTATCAGGTCTGCATGCTAGAAGCCACAGCACAGTGTTAGGAATCAAAACAAAGGTAGGTGTGGGGCCTCTGATACCGGTCCAGTCGTAAGACCCTGTCTCCGGGGAAAGGCAACCCTGTTAGAGGATGGAGGGGTGGCTGCTGGGTGAGAACCCTCCCCCGTGGGACCCCCCACCAAGCTGGGTGGGACCCCGCCGGGTGGGAGCACCCCCATCCCCCAAGCTGAGTCCTGGCTCCCGTCCTAGCACCAACCTGGCTACACCACACGTTGGGTGCCACCAACCTCCTGGCAGTCCTTCCTCTGTTTTTTCTGCCAAGAAATCTTATTCTGACTTCAAGAGGTTTTCCTCTCCTGCCAGAGCCTGAGTAATTTGATTTTGTAAGGTTCGTTCTGTTCAGAGCCTTTTTTGGACACAGACGTCTAGCTGTGTTGTTTATAACTTTCCCATTACCATTCCATGTCAAGGCTGCTGCGACGTGGTCCTGGCTGACTGATAAACGCATATGAACATAACCCCAGCCCGCGATACCTGCAAATGTATGAAAAATCCAAATACCCTAGTCAAAGTATCCCTTGAAGTCAAAAAACTCTTAGGAAAACAAGAAAATTATTACCACAACAAAGTAATGAAAATCTGAGACAGACCACCAATGACATACATCCTGAACACCTGCCCCTCCACCCAAAGCATAAAATGCTCTGAATCCATCTGTGTCCGGGCTTCCCTAACCTTCAAATGTCTGAATGAGTAGGATCTGGGAAATCTGACAAGTGAGTCATTTTGAGAAGTCAGTTACAGAATGCAGAAGAGTCCCTGGATCTCAGGAGAAGTGGGAAGGCAAGGCATATACCCTAGAACAGCTAAAATCAAGGAATCAGGACACACAGAAGACTGGCCCTTCTCTTCCCCTCCCCCCACACATCCTGAACATTCACCATCACCCCAGGACAGACCACCGCAGAGCAGTTTTTCTTGTACCACAAACAGAGCTTATTTACAGTGGCAGCCCCATTCTCTGTGATACTAACAAGGTGGTGTCTCAGGTGAGCTTTTGACAAACGCATAAACCCCAAACTCTGTTAAATGAACAGCCACCCAGTAGGCCTCCCCAGATCAATGTGTGCTTAATGAGAAGAAACCAGGAGAGAGAGGAAACCTTTCTCCACGGTCATTCTCTTTAAGACATGCTCCTTAAAGAAGGGAAACCTATTTTTTGCATCCGAGAGTCATTCTAATTCAGTGCTTGAATAGTTTTTTGTTTTTGTTGGTTGAGATGAGGTTTTTGTTGCTGTTGCTATTAACAATAAAGTGGAATCTGGGCTGGGGGGCGGTGGGAAATGGTACAGATGAACCTATTTCCAGGCCGGGAATAGAGAGGCAGGCATAAAAACAGACACGTAGGCAGAGAGTGGGGAAGGGGAGGGTGGGACAGGCTGGGAGAGCAGGATTGATATACACACACTGCCAAGTGTGAAATAGACAGCTAGTGGGAACCTGCCGCGTAGCATGGGGAGCTCAACTCTGCTCTGGATGACCTAGAGGGGTGGGATGGGGCGATGGGACGGAGGTCCAAGAAGGAAGAGATATATGCATACATATGGCTTTACTTCACTGTACACGTCACGCTACAGCAGAAACTAACATAGCATTGTAAAGAATTTATACTTCAATAAAAATTTTAAAATTAAAAAAAAAAAATAATGCAAGTACTAAGGAGAGAGGTGGCCAGGAAGTCCCTGACTGGGGCTGACCGTGTCTGGGTTCCTGTATCTCCGCTGTCCTGCAGACGATCGCTCCACAGTCCTGTTGACGGATGCTGACTTCGGAGAGGCCGCGAAGCAGAAGTCCCTGACGGTGACGCACACGGTCCATTACCAGTCCGTGTCGCAGGCCACGGGGCCCTTGGTGGATGTTTCAGACGCTCGGCCAGGAACGAGTGAGTGGCTCAAACATCATCTAAACCATGTAGGTGTGGTCAGTGCTGAAAAGGCATCCGTGGTCCATCCCTATGCAGTAAAGCGTGGGGCTTCTTAACTCTCTGCCTAAGAAACAGATAGCTGTAATGACGTCTTTGACTGGGATGCTGAGTTTGTATTGTTTGATCTTCACTGTCATTAAAATTGTGTCACCCGAGGGACTTCCCTCGTGGTCCAGGGGTTAAGACTTTGCATTCCAGTGCTGGGGTGCAGATTTGATTCCTGGTTCGGAGAGCTAAGATCCCACATTCCTTGTGACCAAAAATCCAAAATATAAAACAGAAGCAATATGGTAACAGACTAAACAAAAACTTTAAAAATGCTCCAAATCAAACAAAACTTTTAAAAAGTTATAACAACTAAAGCCAGTAACTCTTGGTTTACTATGAAAGTATTAGACATTTTAGGTCAACTTATTAGTATTCTTTTAAATTTAGACAACACAGGAAAGAAGAAATTGGCTAACCTTAGTGATCTTCGCTTCTGTGCCAGGGTTGGGATTAAAAGATTGATGTCATATTTTTATATTTACAACAACTCTGCGAGGTACCTACTTACACAGCAGCTCTCAGAGCCCCCATTTTATGAGTGAGCAAACAGCCCCAAATTGTACATGCACTCTGTAGCAAAACCCAGATTGAGCTGTGGGTCTGTCTGTCCTCCAAGCTTATGCTTTCCTCCTGAACCACTGTTTGAAAAAAACATAATTCTGTTTAATATGGGTATTGTGTTTGGTTTAATTATTAATATCTGACTCCATGTTATATGGAAATTAATTACTGCAATGAATTAAATCCCCTAATATGTATCTAAAGCTTATTAATTAGACATTCTGGTTCCTTCATAATTGAAATTGTTTGGATGCCCTGATTACTATCTTTTCAGAAGCTTTGATGTCTAGCTTTTAAATCATTAATCACTCTCTTTGCATAAATTTACATTCTCCAAGTAGAGTGCTATAATTAGAAAAATAAATATTACATTGTTAAAAGCTATTTTTTATAATGTCTGACTTGTAAAGCATTTGTGAAATGCACTGAGCTTCATGAAGCAAACTGGTTGATTCCTAAATAACATCACACTATGCAGGAAAATAGTGCTAGCAGTTACTGAAATTCACTTGAAAAATATGTTTTCAAGAGCATTCTAAAGGAGTCTTTATTCCTCCTCTCTATGTCACCTCACATCCTTCCTTCTCTGATGACATGAGTACTTTCTGAAGACATGAATGAGGATCAGCTTTGTGAAGGAACATGTAGGACTAAGAGGCTTGCTTTTAAAAATTACTCCTGGGTCCTTGACATTCTCCCCACCTACGAACTTTTCCATCACAATCCTCCCAAGCCTGCATCTGGTGACTTCAGGACCCTGCACTACATGGATGGCTTTCTGAGCCACTTCAGTTCTGTTCAGTTGCTCAGTCGTGTACAAATCTTTGTGACTCCATGGACTGTGTAGCACGCCAAGCCTCCCTGTCGTCCATCACCAACTCCCAGAGCTTACTCAAACTAGTGTCCATTGAGTCGGTGATGCCATCCAACCATCTCATCCTCTGTCTCCTTCTCCCACCTTCAATCTTTCCCAGCATCAGGGTCTTTTCCAATGAGTCAGTTCTTCACACCAGGTGGCCAAAGGATTGGACTTTCAGCTTCAGCATTAGTTCTTCCAAAGAATATTCAGGACTGATTTCCTTTAGGATGGACTGGTTGGATCTCCTTGCTGTCCAAGGGACTCTTAAGAGCCTTCTCCAACACCACAGTGCAAAAGCATCAATTCTTCGGCACTCAGCTTTCTTTACAATCCAACTCTCACATCCATATGTGACTACTGGAAAAACCAAAGCTTTGACTAGATGGACCTTTGTTGGCAAAGTAATGTTTCTGCTTTTTAATATGCTCTCTAAGTTGATCATAAATTTTCTTCCAAGGAGCAAGCTTCTTTTAATTTCATGGCTGCAGTCACCATCTGCAGTGATTTTGGAACCCAAAGAAATAAAGTCTCCCACTATTTCCATTGTTTCCTCATCTATTTGCCATGAATTGATGGGACCAGATGCCATGATCTTAGTTTTCTGAATGTTGAGTTTTACGCCAACTTCTTCACTCTCCTCTTTCACTTTCATTAAGAGGCTCTTTAGTTCTTCACTTTCTGCCATAAGGGTGGTATCATCTGCATATCTGAGGTTATTGATATTTCTCCTGGCAATCTAGATTCCAGCTTGTGCTTCATCCAGCCCAACATGTCTCATGATGTACTCTGCATATAAGTTAAATAAGCAGGGTGACAATATACAGCCTTGATGGGCTCCTTTCCCAATTTGGAACTAGTCTGTTGTTCCATGTCCAGTTCTAACTGTTGCTTCTTGGCCTGCAAACAGATTTCTCAAGAGGCAGGTTGGGTGGTCTGATATTCCCATCTCTTGAAGAATTTTCCAGAGTTTGCTGTGATCCACACAGTCAAAGGCTTTGGCATAGTCAATATAGCAGAAATAGATGTTTTTCTGGAACTCTCTTGCTTTTCTGACGATCCATCAGATGTTGGCAATTTGATCTCTGGTTCCTCTGCCTTTTCTCGGGCTTTTCAACTTAGGGCTATTCAACCCCAGAAAAATTATAGACCCCAGGGACTTCCATCAGTGGATCCCTGACCTCAGCAAGCCTTTGTTAATGGAGACCTGAGGAGGAGGGTAGGAAAGAGGGAGGGGACCCAGGACATTGCCCCAGGAAGTGGCTCCCAGTCTTCTGAGTGCATCAGAATTACCTGGGTGCCTGTTTTTAAAATACTCATTCCAGGCCTCCACCCCCAGGGATTCTGAGCTGCTTTGTCTAGGGTGGGGCCAGGGACTCTACATTATAACCACCATCCTGGGTGATTCTGACGCTGGTTGTCTGGACCGATTCTTGAGAAACACTTCCCCAGGTGTTAGGCGTGATCCTGGAGCGCAGAGGAGGTGTCTGCCATGGCTCTGTGGTGCAGGAGCCTCAAGCCTGCTAGGCTTATGGCACAGCAGCCTCCCTGCTCACCAGGTGAAAAGAACCAGCATTTCCAGCTCCCTGTCCACGCTCAACTGGCAGAGATGCACAAGGGCTAGTCATCAAAGGTCAAGACTGGAGAAGAGGACAGTGCAACTAAAGCACAGGGAGCCTGCTAACTGCTCAATCAGCCCGAGAATGAGGGAAGGCTGACCTGACAGCTGTCAGAATATCCACAGAGACCTGCATCGGAATCACTAGCAGAAGCTCCAACAAGTGAGAGGGCAGTGGCAGGCGAGAGGCTGGTGGAAGGGGCACCGTGATGTCTCTCATGGCCTTATGGGTTGCATGGTGTAAGAACAGTGGGGGAGCATGAAAGATTCCTTCATTCAGACTCAGAAGAATTTATGAAGATCTTAGTTACTTCACATGTGGCCCAGTGCTCAGGGATGGGGGTGCATCATAAGGTACAGAAAGACTTTCACTTCCTCTGAGTGAAGGAAGTCAATGTGAAACGAGGAATGAAAGCATTTTCATTTATCAGTAAGCCTTCCTCAGTGATCAAGGCAAAGAAACAGAGGAAAACAATAAAATGGGAAAGACTAGAGATCTCTTCAAGAAAATCAGAGGTACCAAGGGAACATTTCATACAAAGATGGGCACAATAAAGGACAGAAATGGTATGGACCTAACAGAAGCAGAAGATATTAAGAAGAGGTGGCAAGAATACACAGAAGAA